GGCCAGAAATCCCAAACCTCAAACGTGGTTTAGAGACTTCTGCCGTGCAGACTTCTCAGGAATGCGCATCTTCCTTGAACAAGTCCCACTGAGACCAGCTCCGGTGGAAGAACTATTTTGGACCATTGTCCAGAAAGTCCACGAGGCTGACGCGACGTTCATCCCAAGAAAACCGGCACGCACTCGGATGAACCGCAGGCCGCCAAAAAGGATTCGGCGACTTCTGGAAAAAAGATCCCAACTCCTTTTCAAAAAGCTCACTACAGAGGATAGGAAGATGAGCTGGCATTNGAGACGCGTTTCATAGTCCACGGATTTGAGGCCTGCAACTATTCTCGTGGTGGCCCGCTGGACACGCTTGATAATGGGTGACGTCTTTCGTACGTCCTGAGTAGACAACTTGGTTGGAACTCCAGGAGATTGGCTTCGCTGCTTGTCCCCAGGATCGTCGCTGACCCACGCGCCTGCCTTCGCTGCTTCCAGGATCGTCGCTGACCCACGCGCCTGCTGTCTCCACGTGTTTGTGAATTTCTATCTGGAGGAATGCTTTGAACTTCGGTCGGACCCGCTTTGGACGACCCGGTTAGCTGATCTCCACTCCACCTGGCCTATGATCTACAACTCCGGGATCACCAAGCGGACCAAGAAAACCTACAATCCCATATCGGTTTCGTTCCAGCTTGTTTCCTCGAACAGGTTGAAATGAATACCGTTGCTCAATAAACTGCACCCCCCAGCCGAATCATCTCAAATGTGACGTCCGTCACGAAGCTGTCCAAAAAGCGAAGTATGTCAGGCCAATAATGGCACGGCACTGCCATAATCAGTTTGATAGCACACCCGTAACTGTTTCATTCCTCCTCCCAACTGAGCCCCCTTGCCTACTCTTTCCAATGACTGCAGATACGACAAACTCCCCAACCGACCCCAACTGCCTTCATGACACTCTTTCCAACCTGTTGGAATACTCTTTTGAATTCAGTCACCTCTGTGTCCCCATCCAACCTAATCCTGCACCTGACGCCCCAA